CTTTCCCTTACTAGCAGGTGGCGCGGTGGTGTCGGTGCAGTAGAGCGATGGGACTCTCACACCTTTCTGCTTGAGCATCTGATGGAACTCGATGCGTTCATTAATGATTTTCTGAAAATCAGGGGTGTGGAAGGAGGTGGGAATGCGTTAGGTGGAGAGCAGTGCTGCAGAGTGCTCTCCTACCTCATCAGTCCCTGCTGGGAGCAGAGTTCACGCAAACCACATACCTGCATTGCCTCCAGCACCTCTTCATCCGTGGTCTCTGCCTGGGGAGGCTTGATGCCTGCTGTGCTGAATGTAGCCTGAATTATTTTGTTCCGATACTTTTCAAACTGTTGATAAAAGAGGAGAGTAGATGTGCTTTGTATATAGTCTTTATATACAATCCTTTGGCATTCACACGGATTTACAGAGACTACACTGTCAGACTTGGACAGAGTGCTAGTTATCTAGCCTAGCTACTTCAGTGGAAGGCCTGTTGATGTGAAATTACAGGTGGTTTGAGTGGGTTTTGCTGCAAGTACTGTGATAATGATGTGTTTGGGGCTGGACTGAGTCCCTTACCTGGGTGTTGGGCTCTGTGCTTGCCACCGGGCACACGTGTTTGCATGAGATGGACTTAAGGTGATACCTGTTACTTTGAATCTGGAAGGCTATTAGAAACTTGGTGATGTAACTGTTCTGAACTCAAGTTTCTCAAGGGCTTCTGATGTTTGAGGCCTGTTTGCTTTGTAAGTGATGTAAGAATTGCATGCTAAAAAGCTGGGAAGGAAATGGACTGAGTTTCCCGCTCCCCTGGCCCTGTGGCTGCGGAGGGCAGCCAGGGCTGCAGTGCCCTGGTGCATCTCCTGCGGTGCTTCTGCCCAAGGATGATACCTCTGTGCTTTCATGTTCTCTACTTGAAATGGTTGGAGTGTCTCGCAGGAGGGAGGGAGGAGGCTGAAGCGGAGGCTGCGCTTACCTTGCTGGTGACGAGCTCCAGCGCCACGCGAGTTTGCAGCTCCCTCTGCTGCAGTGTCTTAACCTCTCTTTGGGCTTCCTCCTGCTGCCGTTGCTGCTTGTGGACGTGGTACCGGTGGGTGCGCACCTCTGTCCGCAGCTGTCGGACGGTCTCCTGTAACTCAGTGATCAGCTTGTTCTGCGCCGCCAGCTTCGATTCTTGTTCCATGATCACCTGAAGAGGTGCAGAAATCAAGCCCTGATTGTGAGGAAGGAAGTGACCAGGCTCGGCTGCATCTTCCTTGTGTCTGGTCCAGATGCTGCTTCTATTTCCCGGGCAGAGTCTCCAGACTGACAGCAATTGTCAGTACTGGTGGCTGCTGTTACTTGGTGTTTTCTCAGACATTTCTGGACTGAGTTGGGGTTTTACGTGACAAACTTCCCCCGAGCCTGGAACAAGCACAGCTAATCAACTAATACAAGAATTTCCTATAGCAGCTTTGCGCCGAGTTTACCTGTCGGAGGCTGCAGTTCTCCTCCTCTGTTGTCATCGTCATTTCTTCACATTTCTGCTCTCTCAGACTGCAAAACTTAAGAAGAAATTACTTCACACTTCAGTTTCACAGCTCCCGGGTGCACCTCCTGTCTGTGAGGAAGGGAGCGGCTGCCTGAGGCCCAAATCCCTGAGGATGGCCACCCTGCCCTCCGGCACTACCTTGTCAGACATGTCTTGTAACTGGTTTTCTTGCTTTCTGAGCTGCTTTTGGAGCATTTCAGTTTCAGATCTCGTTCTCCGGAGCTGGGATTCTTTGATCTCCAGTTGTCTTTGCAAGGAGGAGATGGTACCTGTAAGGTTGGAGAAGTGCTCTTAAACTGCATCCCTGCCTATAGCTCCATGGCTCCTTCCTTCAGGTAAGCACACACAGAGGTGCTGCTGTAACCACCTGAGTGTAGACTGGGTGAAGTTAATGCTGCAGCCACGGTGATGCTGGTTGGTAATGCGTTCTGTGGTACTTTGCTGTGATATATATTAAACTAACCTCACTGTGTGAGGCAGGAGCTGCTCTGGGAACTGCTAGAGCTGGTAACAGGTCTGCCAGCGTGCAGAAGTGCTGCTGGATGCCCCAGAATGGTGCTTGGGACCCTCTTGGATAGGTTTTATTGTGTAAGGGGGTGAGACTGAGCGCTTTTAGTGCAAGCGGTCTTCAAGTCGAAGGTGGAGGGAGGCTTTGTGCTCGTGAGAACCTAACACAGGACCTGTTCTGTCATAGCACAATGGTGGGAGGGTGAAGGGGGGGTGATGGTGCGCTCTGGACGCCTGCCCAGTACCTGTGGCGATGTTGTAGTCATCCTTTACCCTCCGCAGCTCCTCGCGGAGCTCTTGCTCGGTGACGGGCTCTGCCGGCTCCTGCCA